AGATGTTGAAAGTCGATACAATGCTATACCAAATAGAGATGTCAACTTTTGTTCCTACAATGTTTAAGGCTCCAACTGTAAGAAAACTAGTTATGCTCGCTCTACTTGTAAATGTCAAACAGCTAGTAGTGAAACTTAAAGTTGTATAATTGTCGTGACTTGTAATTTTATTATTTTGTATTTATTGGAAGCACAAAATAATTTATTAGATTTTGTAGTCATTGTGCTATTCTCTTTTTTATGCTATTAGAACAAAGTTAAAGTCTTTTTACGTTGTTATATTTTTTTTCACATTACAGACAAACGACTTTTATATCGTTATAGTTGACGCGTATGTCGTTTCAATTTGAAAAATGCATAGATTCATATAACGACGTTGAAATTGTTCCTGAAACATAAAATGATATTGATGTCGTTTCAATACAAAAATTGCACTAATTACATAAAAATATTGAAATCGTTCCTGAAACACAAAACGAAATTAATGTTGTTTTAGTATAAAAATATGCCACTTTATTGATTTTCATAATGGCATTGAAGTCATTATAGACCAATAATATGACATGGATGTCATTATATAAAAAACTTACATAGCGCACACGACATAGGGAACTGTTGCGCTCGCTTCCAAGGGACCATTTGCTCTCGAGTGGTAATGATATTGATATCATTATATATCTATATTGTTGTAGTTATTATTCAAATTTGAACGATTTCAAACACGTCAAATTTGTACTAAAACAATATGGACATTGTTATGTTATTTCGTGGTTTGCTACATAACGATATAATTATCGTTTCAATACAATTTTGACAACATCGATATCATTTCAGTTTAAATCATAAATAAAACAACATATATATCATTTAACTTTATATAAAATATATATATATATATATATATATATATATATATCATTTTTGCTAAAAACAACGATTCAACGATCTGCGACCACTCGACATGTATTCGACATATATGGGATGATTGAAATAGGTCAACAACTGGATTTGATCTCACTCAAAAGAAATTATGGGAACATTTCTGTTCCCACAATTGTATACAACATCCGAACTATTCCTATAGGAGCAAGTATCTTCGATCGTTATTTCTAAGTCATTTGAGTGTCATCAATCCACTTGATGACCTCTTTCGATTGTCTTAGGTATGTTAAAGACATGTTAAGCGATTGTGGATGATCGTTATTTTTAGTCAAAACGTTATAATTAACATTTTATATGAAAAGAAACGATATCTATGTCGTTATAGTTATTATTTGAACTGGAACGATTTCAAACTCGTCAAATTTGTATTAAAACGATATGAATGTCGTTATTTTATTTGTAAGTCTGATACATGACGACATCATTATCGTTTCAATACAAGTTTGACGACGTTGATATCGTTTTACCTTAAATCATAACTAAAACTACATACATATCGTTGCTATTAAAATAAAACGACAATTATATCGTTTCTACTAAAAATAATGATTCGACCGTCCACAACCACCAGACATGCATCTGACATATGTAGGATGCTCAAAATAGATAATCAAGTGGGTTTGATCTCGCTCAAAAGAAACTATGGAAATATTTCCATTCCCACGATTGTATACAACATTCGAAATATTTCAATAGAAAGAAGTATCTTCGTTCGTTCTTTCTAAACCATTTGAATGTCATCAACTCACTTGATGACTTCTTTCAATCGTCCTAGGTATGTTAAAGACGTGTTGAGTGGTTGTCGACGGTCAAATCATTATTTTCGGTCAAATCATTATTTTCAGTCAAAACGATTTAATTAACGTTTTATATGAAAAGAAACGATATCTTTGTCGTTATAGTCATTATTTGAACTGGAACGATTTCAAACTCGTCAAATTTGTACTAAAACGATATGAATGTTGTTACTTTATTTGTGAGTTTGATATATAACGACATCATTATCGTTTCAATACAAGTTTGACGACGTTTATATCGTTTTAGTTTAAATCATAATTAAAACTACATACATATCGTTGCAGTTAAAATAAAACATAATTATATCGTTTATGCTAAAAACAACGATTTTACCGTCCACCACCACCAGACACGCACTTGACATACGTAGGATCCTCAAAATTAATAATCAAGTAGGTTTAATCTCACTCAGAAGAAACTATGGGAATATTTATGTTTCCACAATTGTACACAACATTCGAATTATTTCGACAGAAAGAAGTATCTTCGTTCGCTCTTTTTTAAGTCATTCGAGTGGTATCAACCCACTTGATGACTTCTTTCGATCGTACTTGGCATGTTAAAGACGTGTTAAGTGGTTGTGGACGATCGAATCGTTATTTTCAGTCAAAATGATATAATTAACGTTTCATATGAAAAGAAACGATATCCATGTCGTTATAGTCATTATTTGAACTGAAACGATTTAAACTTGTCAAATTTGTACTAAAATGATATGAATGTCGTTACTTTATTTGTGAGTTTGATATATAACGACATTATTATCGTTTCAATACAAGTTTGACGACGTTGATATCGTTTTAGTTTAAATCATAACTAAAACTACAAACATATTGTTTCAATTAAAATAAAATGACAATTATATCATTTCTGCTAAATATAACGATTTGACCGTCCACAACCACAAAACATGCACCTGACATATGTAGGATGATCAAAATAAGTAATCAAGTGGGTTCAATCTCTTCAAAAGAAACTATGAGAACATTTTTTGTTCTCATGATTGTATATCACCTTCAAAATATTCCGACAGAAAGTATTTTTGTTTGCAGTCATTCGAGTGGTATCAACCCACTTGATGACTTCTTTTGATCGTACTTGGCATGTTAAAGACGTGTTGAGTGGTTGTGGACGGTCGAATCGTTATTTTCAGTCAAAATGATATAATTAACGTTTTATATGAAAAGAAACGATATCTACTTTGTTATACTTGTGATTTGAATTAGAACGACTTCAAACTCGTTAAATTTGTACTAAAACAATATGAATGTCGTTACTTTATTTGTGATTTTGATAATAACGATATCATTATCGTTTCAATACAAGTTTGACTATGTTGATATCTTTTTAACTTAAATCATAACTAAAACTACATACATATCGTTTCAATTAAAATAAAACGACAATTATATCGTTTTTGCTAAAAATAACTATTCGACTGTCCACGACCACCACTCGTGCATCTGGTATATGTAGGATGATAAAAATAGATAATCAAGTAGGTTCGATCTTCCTCAAAAGAAACTATGAGAACATTTTTATTCTCATAATTGTATACCACCTTCGAACTATTCGAACAGAAAGTATTTTCGTTTACTCTTTTTAAGTCATTCGAGCTCTATCAATCCACTTAATGAAATTTTTCGATCGTTCTACGTATGCTGAAGGCATAACGATGATTGTAAACGGTCGAATCTTTATATTTAGTTAGAACAATATAAATATCGTTTTATATGAAAATAAATTATAGCTGTCATTATCATTGTGATTTGAATTGGAATGATTTCAAACTCATTAAATTTGTACTATAACGATTTGGATGTTGCTGTCTTATTTTGTGGGTTTGATACATAACGATACTATTATCATTTCAGTACAATTTTGATTACATTGATATCACTTTAATTTAAATCTTAACCAAAACGATAAATAAAAACGACGATTCGATCGTCAACGGTCAATTATCTGTAAATTTCAATTACATTTAATATCGTAGTTATAACGTTCTAGTGTAATCACTTCTGAAAAGATATGTATGACATTATAGTTACGATTGAATAGGAACGATATAATTGTTGTTGAAAATTGTATTGAAACGACATAAACGTTGTTTACTTATTCCATAGCGTGCTCTTAAACCTGTTAAACAGTAGTGTATTCGATATCGAAACGACATATATATCGTTTTTTGTAGTTTAGAAACGAGTTCAATGTCGTTATACAAATCAGTTAAGTAGAGTGTATTTGATTCTGAAATGATATCGAAGTCGTTTTTTTATTTCAGGAATAATTTCAATATTGTTATGCAAATCAGTGAAACAGTGTCAGTAGCTCATTTCCATTCCACATTTTTATTAAGTTGATAAGTTATATTTTACGATTTCTTCAAACTTTAATATCTTCGTGCTGGCTTATCCGAATCGACTTTTTCTCGAGTCGAATAGTTCTTATTAATTATAAGTTTTAAAATGAGTACAATATCGATATACTGCATCGTTTTTTATTAAAATCTAATTATTAGACTTTAAATAAGATATAAATTTTTAAAAAAATCCATTTTTTCCGAAATATAACAATAAAATTTATTTTAAAAAATTTCGTGTGTTATAATATGTGTCTAATGAATAAATGACTCAATAATTATTTTCGACTAGTTGTTAAGTTGTGGATAATGTTAAAACTTTGGGTGAATTGGAGATCAATTACAAAAAAGAGATTACCTTAAATTTAAAAAGAAGAGTTCGAATTCTAAGGAGAAGATGATTTTGAAGAAGAAGATTTTTTGAATTTAAAGGAAGAGAATGTTGTGTGTGTTAGAACATGAATGCATAGTTATTGGAGCCAACCCGATGATCAACTAAAAAAAATCACCAGGTCAATGGTTCAATCGGTGGATTATTTTAAATTTTATTTTTGAAGTGAGAATAAAACAATTTTTGAAATGTAATATATATATTTTGCTCATAGGAAACAAGGGACCATCACTTGCCATAATGGTCGTGGAGTTACAATATTTTCTTGCAATACATGTTCAAGTCACGGCTCCAACAAATTTAGAAAAAAACTCCAATCTCTTCTTCATTTTTATTTTATAAGTTAAGGGTAAAGAAGTCATTTGACACTTTTAAATAATTAAAACTCCTTTTAATTTTATAAATTTGGTCAAAGGTCAATTGAACAAAATGTACATTAAGACTAGCCATCCCAACTCATTTTCCCCCTTTTTTTTTTTTTCTCATTTCTCTGCTATAATTGATTAATTTCTCTGCAAATAATCTGTGTTTAAAATTGAAAGGAAAAAAACCAAGAATTCAAAAAATGGTTGGCTATGTTGGGGTGTTTGTGTCGGATCCATGGCTTCAATTCACTCAAGTAGAGCTCTGGAGCTTGAAAACCCAAGTAAGTTTTTCATCAAATTCGTAAGCTTTTTTTTTTTTTTTTTTATAAATAATTTCTAAGTTCTTTTCATTTGCTTGGTTACATGTGAAATTACTGAATTTTTTTTTTAAAATTCTTGAATTAGTTATTTTATCTTGTTTTCTGTGCTTTGGTTTGTTTATTCAATCTGTTCTTTTGAAAGCAAAATTTAAATCGAAATTTTAGGGAACTTAGACATTTTTATGAGAATTCGTACAATGCCCTTGAAAATAGTCTGCAGGAGATAGATAAATTACTGAATGAGTGCTCTTGAGCTCAAGGTAAATATCTTGAAATCCCATGTTTTCAGACTTCAATGACCATTTCTGTAATTTTTAGACTTTTTTACTTTTCAGTATTTACATTTAGGTACGACCTTGCCAATGCTACCATCTTCATGGGCCAGTCCGTAAGTGGAAAAAGAAGTGGGTCAATATGCCGCTCTCCAATTTCAACCAAATGGCAACAGACGCACCGTTAATGGCTCCTCCCACCTCTTACTCTTCAAGTATATTCATGTACTTTTCTTTCGTTTCACTTTTTATGGTCTTTGTTAAATTTTTTTTACATTTTCGGTTGTATATAATATGTCTGTAATCGATCTTTGAGATGTGGATTTGAAATTAAATGGGCTGTGAGTGATTATTACAATCTTCTTTATGGTGAATTATCTTTTACGGTTCTGGGATAAATAAAAAGTAAACGGTGTTTTGGGGTTTTACTTTCATATAGAAGAAATTGAACATCTTTAGTTAAAGGGTCTCTGGCGGAGGAATTTACATATCTGTTTGATTTAAATTTGGGAGTGAGCTGATTTTCTTGATAGCTTGATTTAAATTTTTAATTTTTCAAAGGGGAGTGATTGGTGCTTCTAGATTCCCAAGGTAGTGTATCTTTCACTTCTTTCCTTGTCAATGTGGTGATCTTAATGGCAAAAGAGAACAAGGATGAATTGCGCTTATAGAGCAACGTCAATGAGTAACTGTGAGGCTAATAAATTAACGTTTGATGACTAATATGAAACAAACTTATAAAATGAAGTTTGATGACCAAAATTAAACAATTTAATTCTTTGTCAATTGCTCCTCCATCTTCTCCTAGGTTCTCAAGAAGAAAAAAATCTTTCAAAATTTGATTTTCTTAACCATTGTTTTTTCTGTACATATCATTTTTTTTATTTCTAATGATCAGTACGCTGATTTGTATAGACAAGATATTGCTATTTCATCTATTTCTAATGGTAGTATAAGAGGGAGAGAGAGAGA